CCCCAAAACCCCAAAACCCCAAAACCCCATTTCAATAGAAAAATATTGAAAAGAATCTCTTGATATCCGAAATTATATTTTCATGAAGAATTTACTGAAGTCTTTCCAAATAGTTGTAATCTTTGGTTTTTGTTGTTTGCTTCAACGTTAGCGATGCTATATCTGGATAAATTTGAAGAGCTCAGAGAAGCTGAGCTCTTCAATAGTTATGGTGGAGCTTATGAATACACTCAGAAGCTTGATCGCTTCAACCCTCAGAACAAGGAAACCTTTGTTCAGAAGTATTTTGATGTGGACAAATATTGGGATCCAGAGATTGGACCTCTCTTTTTGTACATTTGTGGAGAATCAATCTGTGAAGAACCAGCTGATAACAGATTTGTAGTAAATCTTGCCAAGAAATCTAACGTAAGAGTGCTTGCACTTGAGCATATATATTATGGATATAGTCAGCCCAAACCAGATTGGTCAACAGAGAGTCTGCAATTTTTTAACTCCAAATCAGGCACTTTGAGATCTTGTCCAATTTGCTAGTGATGAATCAAGATAATTTAGTGAGAAACATGGTATCCCATTTAGAAGATGGATTAAAGTAGGAGGAAGTTACCCAGAAGTATTGTCTGCTTGGTTCAGATCTAAGTATCCTCATATTTCTTTTGCTTCACTCGCTTCTTCTGCTGTTGATAATGCTATTAAAGATTATCACCAATATGATGGAAAACTCTAAAAATTAACTTTGAAGAGTGGAGAATGGCGTCCGAACTAATACATTAATATTACATCAGCTTTTGAAAAAGCATTTGAAGAAGGAAGAGCTGAAGAAATCTTCCAAAAGCTTGGATTTGGGTTTGAGTATTCCACTTCAATTGAGTTAATAGAATATCTAGCTAACTATCTAGCTTGGGCTATCCAATATGGCTCAAGAACATCTCTCTGTGATCAAATTTCGAATGCTGGAGAGAATCTTGGCAATTATATAAACTTCATTTTATATACTCCAATGCAATATGGCTTGAAAATCACAGATTTCTTTAAAGAAAATAGTGCGAGAATTTCCCTGGATACATACTCCTACATAAGACAATGGATGCATCAGATTTGCTCAACCCTTGGATATTTTCAGACCTACTAGAGATGTAAGTGCATTCCTTTCCAGATCTAATATCCTAATTTATATTCCAGCCATGAGAAGTGAGCAAATCTATCTTGATTTCTAGAGAGGTGAGTGCTCAAAACAGTTTGGCACTGATATCTTCTCCGATACAGACCACTGGAATAACCTCTATGGAGGTGTAGACCTAGACTCTTCTAAGATTGAGTTTGCCAACTGTGGGGAAGATCCATGGCAACACTCTAATATTACAAAGATAGATAATCCTACTTATCATACCTTTTAAATTGACTGTGATGATTGTGCTCATTGTTTCGATTTATATGGAGACAAACCTACAAATGCTCCAGAATTAACTGAAGCTAGAGCAAAAATTGCAGATATCCTTGAGAAATGGATTCAGGAAGAACTAAATATTAATTAAAGCATGAGGAGAGATATCCAACCAAATCTTTAGCTGATCTCTAGAATTACCTTTCTATCCCCTTAAAGCTACTCCTTATCACTTCTCTCCAATATTATACCTCCAACCCGGGGTTTTGGGGTTTTGGGGTTTTGGGGG